GCCCCCCCCCCCCATGTCCCTGGGTGCCAACTAGTGTTCCCTCTAAGCTGAGTTAGTGTGAGCCAGCTCACAATTTTTTAACCTCCAGCTCACCCATTCTTGTCTCAGCTCAGGAAGGATGGCTCCGGAGCAAACTAATTTATGCAGTAGCCGAATCGCTCGCTCACAACTTCAATGCCAGTCGCTCACAAAGTAGAATTCTTGCTCACAAGACTCCAGGGCTTAGAGGGAACGTTGGCAGGCGCCGCCAACTACAGTCTTCGGGCAGCCCTCGGTTGGCTGTCCCACCACTTAGGGTGGCCCGTCTGGCATCGGCCAGAGCCCAGGGCCTTTTCCATCGTGGCTCCCTGTGGACGGGGCTCCCTGAAGAGGTGGGGGCCCCCCTCCCCGGAGATCTTCAGGAAGCCTGCACATTTGCCAGGCCTTTGGAGGAGGTTCGAATAGCAGGCATTGTTTAAGGAGGGGGGACGGGGACTCGGGGCTTGTTATTTTTATCTTGGTTGTTAGCTGGGAATGTTTTGACTATTATTGTAGGCGAAAGAGGGGACAGAAATGTTGTAATCAATAAATAATTATGCGAGGAGCGTCCCACAAAGCGTGCAGCTGATGGGGGAGAACTTTGCCCTGACAGCAAGTTGCTTTTACAAAAATATAGCAGCGAGGGCACCACCAGCTATAGGTACTGTAATCCCCACCCACCCCCAATTTAAATTGAATTTCCTTGCAGCCGTGAGTACTGTTCCAAGAACCCTTGAAAAGAAATAACACAGGAATGCTCTTAAATTGTACTCTGATTATAGTTTGATTATGACAAACGTAGTGGTATTAAGACGTAATGGAACATATAATATAATAATCAATGCATAACGGTTAATATTAATACTAACTAATGGTTATAGGCTAGGCTTTAATAATAAATGTATACAGTATATAAAAATCTTCCTAATACTATGTATTTTAAATGTCTACGTTAAATGCTCTATATTTACTCTGATGTCGATCGTCCTTGTTATAAATAATATAATAATCAATGTCTAACAGTTAATATTAATAGTAACTAATGGTAATATAGGCTAGGCTTTAATAATAAATATATACAGTATACAAAATCTTCCTAATACTATGTATTTTAAATGTCTATGTTAAATGCTCTATATTTACTCTGATGTCGATCTTCCTTGTTATGAATAATATAATAATCAATGTCTAACAATTAATATTAATAGTAACTAATGGTAATATAGGCTAGGCTTTAATAAATACATACAGTATATAAAAATCTTCCTAATACAATGTATTTTAAATGTCTACGTTAAATGCTCTATACTCTGATGTCAATCGTCCTTGTTATGGATAAGTTACAGATTATTATAATATCTATATCTCCCCTCCTTTCCCCCTTTTTTCTGTATTCCTATTTTAATTTAAAATAACAATGATAATAAAAAAGCTATTAATTAAAAGAAAATAGCAGAGGGTCCCGGGTTCGATCCTTGGATCTAGCAGTGGGTGATATGAAAGGCCTCTGCTTAAGACTCCGGAGATCGGCTGCCACTCCAAGCAGACAAAACTGACCCTCGTGGACCGCTGGCCTGATTCAGTAGAAGGCAGCTACTGGGGGAGAAGGAGAAGGCAGCTATTGGGGAAGGGGCTGTGGCTCAGTGGCAGAGCCTCTGCTTGGCATACAGAAGGTCCCAGGTTCAATCCCCAGCATCTCCAGCTAAAAGGACTAGGCAGGAGGTGATGAGAAAGACCTTGATCTGAGACCCTGGCTCAGTGGCAGAGCCTCTGCTTGGCATGCAGAAGGTCCCAGATTCAATTCCCAACATTGCCAGTTAAAAGGACCAGGCAGGAGGTGATGGGAGAGACCTTGACCTGGGACCCTGGCTCAGTGGCAGAGCTTCTGCTTGAAATACAGAAGGTCCCAAGTCCGGATCAGGCAGGAGGTGATGAAAACCTTGACCTGAGACCCTGGCCTCTGCTTGGCATGCAGAAGGTGTCAGGTTCAATCCCCGGCCTCGCCAATGGAAAAGGACCAGGCAGGAGGTGATGTGGAAGAACTGAGACCCTGGAGAGCCGCTGCCAGTTTGAGTAGACAACACCGACTTCGATGGACCGAGAGGGGTCTGATTCACTACGGGGCAGCTTCAAGTGTGCTTCATGTGTGTTCAACCCTACCCCAACCCTTCCGACAAAACCTCTTCAAGTCAGCTTGAAGTATCAGGGAATGAGATGTAAAATTAGGGACGGGGGATGCGTGTCGAGCCCAAATTTCAGCCCCATCCCCCAACTCTTTCACAAATCACAGGAAGGGATATGAAGAAGACTCCCCATGCTGCACTGGGCGGGTGATCTTGCTTCCTGCTTGGCAGCAAGGGCTATTGGGAAACGGTGCCAGACGACAGAGGTTCAGGGCCTGGGGAGCAGGAAAGGGCTTCTCTCTCCCCAGAGTTCAATCATCTTGCCCTACTCATGGGATTGCCAGGATTTTGTGGCTTGTGGGGCAGATTTCCCCCCCCCCCCCCCCCGGGTGGGGCTGAAGTTCTCAGTGCAGAAAGAAAAGCCATTTATCCAACAGAAAGCTGTGACCAGGAGAGAGCTTTAAACTGCAAGCTGTCAGCCACTTTGGATGACAGTTCTCAGCTGCTGCAAGTTAAACCACTTCTACCAGCCTTAGCAACCATTCCGAGAACAAGCTGGCAAGTGGGGGTGATGACTTCTATGGTCAATAAAGCAAAACACTTAGGTCAAAAGAACCCCACCGTCTCTTCAAGGAGACCAGTTTCTTGATACAGAGTTAGAAGGGATCCTAGAGGTCACCTAATCCAACCCCCTTGCTCAGTGCAGGAATTAGTCAACTACAGCACCCCACTCTGCTTAAAGAAGCGTACGCCTTTTAAAAAATGATTGAAAAAAGCATTCACAGGAGAAATTCTTGTGGGGCGGTGCCTTTAAGAAAGGGGGCAGCGCCCCCCAAATCCCCACCGTGGCTATGAGCCAGTTGATTCTACATCCTCAATATGTGAGATTCTTCATAGCTTCCCACCAATGTGTTCAACCCCACCTAGGGATGCCAGCCTCCAGGTGGGACCTGGGGATCTGCAAGAATAACTGCTCATCTCCAGACTACAGAGATCAGTTCCCCTGGAGAAATCAGTCCCCCTGGAGAAAATGTCTACTTTGGAGGGTGGACTGCATGGCATTGTACCTCGCCAAGGTCCCTGTCCTCCCCAGGCTCCACCCCCAAATCTCCAAGAGTTTCCCAACCTGGAGCTGGCAACACTACCCCCCCATCCTCTGCCGGTGCCCGGGGAGACCTGGCAACCCTCGGATGCGAAACTGGGTTAGCCCCCTACTCACTTGTCGTGCCTCATGCGGACGGCCAGAGCCGGCTTGGTGAAGGTGAACTCCAGCACCAGCTTGTCTTTGCCGTCTTTCCCTTCGCGAGCGTCGTCCCAGATCAAGACTGCAAGGGAAAATATCCTCCTTCGCTGAATAGCATCCCAGTAAGCCTCTGTTAAAGGGACAGGACATTTTTCTCCAGGCCTGTTGGTAACCCCAGCAGTATGACAACTACTTCCACTTGGTGAAATACACCCTGCTCTTGGGGAGTATGGGTGAATATTCCAAGAAAAAGGCATAAGAACAACCACATTGATTCCCCACCCCCCAAGCCACAACTCCACAGAGAGAAAGATCATTAAGTAGTTGCTTTGAGGCTTTTCTTGTCGCCAGAATCCGAGTGGGAGTCACATGACATTGTTAATTGTTGACAGTATAAACTATCTCCCCTTGAAATAACTACCAGGTTTAATTCTACTCAGCATAATCACAACTCACATATTATTATCTTATTCAATTACACAGTAGGGGCAGTATAACCAAATAAAATATTTTTTCTCCCACTACATCAGTGCTCTTTTGTCTTTGTTTTTTTGCAGAAGTGCATTTTACCAGCTTCTCTTAGTTAGCCAGCTGCAGCTTTTCCTGGGCAGAGAAGATCTAGCTATTGTGGTGCATATCCACCTGGTTACATCTAGGTTAGATCATGGCAATGTGTTCTCTGTGGGGCTAGCCATCAGAAGGGTTTGGAAACCTCACTTGGTGCAGAATGCTGCGGCCAGGATGTTGACTGGAGTGGGTGGTAGAGACCATATGCCATTTTTGGCTTATCTACTCTGGCTCCCAATCTGTTTCCGGGCATAATTCAAGATGCAGGTTGTGATGCACAAAAAAGAAGGCTTTTAATATGCTGCTTGTATCGGAGTATCAGGGGGTTCAAGAATTAATCTTCCCTGGAGAGAACATCTTAGGTGATTGGCTACTCGGCTCACTCTCTCTTTTTTTTCCCCCCAAAACAATTTATTAGGATATAATCAAACAAACAGTCAAAACATATATCAAAACTTATATGGTTATATATCCCCTCCTCCCTTTCCCCCCCTTCTGGGCTTCCCACAGTGCTCCAACCTCCTGCCCAATTCTTAAATTTCTTTTCTACTTCCTTTTTTTTAAATTTACATCCACAGGTAACTTATCTTTCAATTATCCTTCTTATACATTATCCATTTTCTGCTATCATTTAATTTTCAATAATTCTCAAAGCAAAGTAAGTTATCTTTTACATCCCAATATTTTTCCAAATAGTCTTTAAAATCTTTCCAGTCTGCAAAAAATTATTCCACCTCAATGTTATTAAGTTTTCTTGTCATTTTATCCATTTCAACCATAAAAAGTAATTTTTTAATCCATTCCTCAACTTCCGGGGTCTTGTCTTGTTTCCAACATTGGGCATATGTCATTCTGGCAGTTGTGATCATATACCACATCAATGTCCTTTTTGCCATATTCTTCCATTTTAAGTCCCAAAAGCAGTATTTCCGGTTCTTTCTTAAACTTACATTTTACAATTTTTTCCATTTCTGCATGTATCTCAGTCCAAAACATTTTAGCTTTGGGTTTTTGCAGTGCATATTTATTTGTTACTAGACTCTCCTAACACTGCAGCTCGGGTTGCTTCAGCCTCCAGGTGGGACCTGGGGATCCCCCGGAATCCCAGCTAATCTCCAGACTGCAGAGATCAGTTCCCCTGGAGAAAAGGGACGCTTTATAACGTGTGTGTGCCTGTGCCTGGAAACCATGGCAACCTCTGGCGACTCCTACTGGGGCATGGAGGACGTTCAGAGAAAGGGCTTTGATAGCCTGCTTCTGCCTCTCGGCCCTGGTATTCTCTGGAGGTCTCCCATCCAAATACTAGACAGGGTTGGTCCTGCTTAGCTTCTGAGATCTGACGAGATCGGGCGAGCCTCGGCTATCCGGGTCCGGGCCTATTTCCTACAAAACTTTTATCTCTTCCTCTCTCGGGTGGCAAAACGAAGCTACACGTTATGGTGGCAATGAGTGCGGCTGTTTGAAACGCTCTCTCTCTCTTTAGTATCACGTGTATTTTTAATTTTGCCTGTAGAAAATGGTGGCCCTTTATTCCACTCGTTTCAGAAAGATACCAGCCAGAATAAATTCATATGCTGTTATAAATCACACATTTCGTGTTGTTAAAACAGCAAAATAAGTTTAGGCTTGGTAAGCGTGGCGTGTCTTTCAGGTTTCCCCCAAAACAGCAGTATTTTC